TAATGTTGCTTCAAACAACATTGATTTTCAAAGCTTAAACAATGATAATCTTGTAGCACAAGTTGGTGATGATAAATCATTACAAGTTATTGCCTACTTTCATGATGTTATCAGTTTCAAGCAGTTTCTATGATCCACCGTCATTACTAATAACTTTGGGGTCAAGATCAAGGCTAGCAATAAGTCTAGAGTTATACCAGCATGCTCACATTGAGGTTATCCTTGGAGTGTACTTGCATCGCTATGCAGAGGTGGTTATGAAAGAGGTAATGGAGCAAAGGTCCGAGAGGAGACTTACTGTAGGCAAATGTAGAGGAGAACTAGTCCCATATGCTGAGGAGTGTGTTAAAGAAATTGCAATACGGAAGGAGTTTTTTGCAATTAGGCAGACAACCTCTGCGAAGTTTGAAGTTGAACGCCAGAAAGAAATCCTTAGATGAGGGATAGCTTTTTTTGATAATTTTTTTTTATTAAATGTGTACTAAACAGCTGCGGTAAAAAATAATAATGCCAATTAAATGAAGCCCAACTCAAGTAACATTAAAAGATATATCTAAAGAGATCCTTCCATGAAGCCTCCGCCACTAAAGGACTGTTCAAGATTCTCGAAGCACGGTTTCGTCTTCATGTTCCCATCACTTCCGTATGAATTAAGCTCGAAGGATAAGATTCAAAAGAATCAAACAAAATTAAAAACACCGGACAAAGAGTATCCAAGGAGCTTAACAATTTTCTTCTCTTGGTGATCATGTGGATCGATGTATTTTCTCTCTAGATTTCGCGCTGTCTGATCTGTATAACGGAATATTATTATTAATTTATGCAATGTTTGGTAGGATTATTATTACTAAATTAGACGTACATCACGTTCTCAAGCATAGAAAAATGAAAGGTCGAAGTGGACGTGTGCTTCTTTTTTATTGATTGATTTTGATGATTCTGCGTAAGTAGATGAAATGTTGAATTTATTAACTGCAACGTAAAGCTATATATGTATAACTTAGACTTTTTTTTGGGACTTCTTATTAATTTTTTTGACAAATTTTTAATAAAAAATTTCTCAATAATAAAAATGCTTTCTAAAATGAAGCCTTAAAAAAATTTCTCGAAATTTCATATATATATATTTTTTATAGTTATCATATGACTCGAGTATATATTCTAACTTCAAAATTTTATAAAAAACAATAAAAAAGTGGCAGCCAAATATATATATGTAAGTGGTTTGAAAAAAACTATCTTAAACAAATCCTTTATTGTGTGCATGTAAGAATTATGGTGATTCATTACACTTTGGGAGCATTTTAAGCTGCCCTATTTAGGCTATTTTAGGAGTTGATGAAACCAAAGAATTTTGGATTGCTGACACATATTTCACTTCCCTCAAAAGAAAAAAATAAAAAGAAGGATGCTATCTCTCAATAGTGAATGAGTGGCTTTACTCTTAGAGATATGATATGAAACGAGCATATGCATCAAAAGGTTGGAGTAGCTCTAGTGGAAGATAATGTTAGAAAGAGTAGCCTTAAAATGTCGGCCTTCCGATGAACATGTTAGGAAAGCAGATGCATTAGATGTGACTCATGTTAAGAAAGGTAGAAGTTGACCTAAAAAGACTTGATTAGAAAATATTAGAAATCATCTTTCTTTATTAGATTTAGATGAGAATTTCGGTTGTTGCATGTTGCTTCTCCTTAGCTACGAATTCTCCCATGTCTTATCAATTAGTTAGAACAATTATGATTAAAGTTGATTAGATGTAGGCGTAAATATCATATATGCAGACGACCAATTACGTTAAATACGTGATTGATATAATCTTCTTGATTATAGATCACTTATTCATTATTTAAGTGACTTAACGATGTGAGAATTAAATATTCTTATGCCCGTTAGATTCATCTCGTCTAGCTGCTTCATTTAATTATAAACACGTAATATTTGAGGACTATTTGGTTCATCAATTAATATTCTGAAATTTTCAAATATGCTTCTCGTACTTAATTTGAGTTCATTTGAAGCTGGATCAGATCATTTGTGATATCAATGGATTGATATCGTCAAATCTTTTAGTTAGATTATAAATTTACTAATTTATCGAAGGTTATTGAAAATTAGGATATTAAGCTTCGTTTGGGATTTTTTTTTTTCAATAGAAATTTTCTAGCATAAAATATTCTTGAAAGCACTGCTAAAGTAAAAGTTGTTATAAGGGATGCCTTTTTTTTTTTTTTTTTTTTTTGAAAAATTGGGGCCTTAGCCCATATATATTAAGAAAAAAAAAGGTTACATGTAAAGATGATTACAAGTAAAGAAAAACCCCCTTCATAAGCAAGAACAAAAACTTATGAAGGACCAATATAAGAAACCTCAACTATACCACCCATATAACAAAATTACGCAGAAAACAAGAAATAGTAGCAGCACCAAAACTACAGAGAAAACACAGTTAAGTGCAAGAAGCAAAAAAATTGTAGGGCCCTCAGCGACGTAAATGGCAGCCAGAATCTGGAGAAGACATCTCCAAGCAGGAAGTAGGCAACCAGAACCCGTAAGTCCAGGAAGAGTGATCATAGAGGGGAACTGAGAGAAGAAAGAAAGAACTAAAAAAAACAAGGCAGGACATCTAGATAATAAAGAACCCAAGTTCTCAAAAAGAGCTCCAAAGAGATTAACCAGGACTCAGATAAAAAGTAACCCCTGCTTGCCCGAAGACCATCCAAGGGGTTGCAGTCAACATACATTAAACGGAGCTTCATCATCGCCTTGATTAATAAACCTTTCTCGGTCAATAAGCAACATATAAAGAAAGCAGACAAACAATTCAGGTTCCCAGCAACAATGCTCCCCTAGCGATCATCAAACCAATCCAGCAATAACCACCATCCAGAAGCTCCAACAAATAAAACCAGCACAACAGAGCAGCAATGCCCCAAAATTTAACCCAGGATGTTACCAAACTAATCCATAATCTTATCCAAGTCATACCAGTAGATGATGTAAATACACACAGCAATAAAAACCCCCATTCCACCTCCATAGGAAATTTCCAACCAAAGAAATCCTCCAAAACACAACCCAGAATGTTAGGAAAATTTTCTTTGAGGGCCTCAAAACCATCCAATGTACGGCTTTAGCACGAACAACATAAATAATGTCCACACCCACCTCAGTAGGTGACCTCCGAACATTTGCAAATCTACGGTTATTCCTTTCTCTCCAGGTAAAGTAAATCAAAGTGGCCAAAGTAAAATAACAGAAAAACTTATCCCTCCTACTATATTCTTGCATATTATCAAAGAAATTGAAAACCTGCATCAGATAAGGCCTAAGATAGAACTTTTTAGTGACCGGGAGCAATGCATTAAGAATGGAGAAAGAGAAATCACACTCAAAGAAATTGTGATGATGATTCTCCAAAGAATTCATGCAAAAAGAACAGTTACCCGCCACCAGAATGCCACGAGAGATAAGGTTATCTGCAGTTTTCAATTTGCCTCTCATAGCCATCCAAGCATAGGATGAGTACCATATAAGGGAAGCCTTAATCTTGTGGAGCCAAGATTCTAGCCATACACTATTCATGCCAAAATTAACGTGGTCACCAGATTAAGTAGCACTGTCACATTTTGAAGCTTTTACCATAAAAGAAAAATTGTAATTATATTCACTTTTAACACCGGCTAATTATTCCAAATAAATAATTATTCACCACATTTAACACGAGCAAATTATATTAAAATGTATGATTAAAATTAAGGGTGTCAAAATCGGGTCACGAGTCGAACCCAGAACTAACCCAACACAAATTACCCGACATGAATCCAACTCATTTTTTGCAAATGGGTCACTTTTCATACTCGAAACCAACCTGCTTCAGACCCAGGTCAACCCGACACGATACACCAACCCGAGTCACTGGCTTGTCTTCAACCTCTGTCGACGGTGGGCTGGAGCCGATGGCGGAGGTGGCGGTGACAACAGAGGTTGCAAATGCTGGAGCGGATGGCGGTGAGGGCGGAGGCAACAACAGAGATGGCAGACATCGGACGGCTCGGTTGTGGCAACCTCCGGATTCCGGATGGCAGGTCAACATCCGGATACCGGCAAGTTGCGGCAACCTACGACTCATTTCATAGATGTCGGATGGCTCGCGGACGGCTTGTAGACTTGACGTGAGGTAGGTTTCCGAGTCAGTCCGGGTCAATGTCGGGTTAGCGAAATTTTTCAAACGGGTCGAAACCTGGAACTCAAATCAGACCTGTTTGCGAAACGGGTTGACCCTAACTTCAAATTTTTTGGTAGGGTTCAAGTCAGATTTTTGGATCATGTCAAATATTGACACCCCTAATTAAAATATTCAGCTTTAGCAGCATAGTCATCAAAATTCAAATATAAAATGTGGGTTTTATCTTCTTTTTTTTTAATTCCAAATTTATGAATATATTGACGACGAATATAAATTTTAAGTTATAAAAATTTATCTTACTCTAATTTCTTCCTAATATACGTCATTCAATCAATTGTATTCTTATTTTTCATTTTAGTAAAGTTTGGTAAGTCTTGACATAACTCATGGAAGCAATTGCACGACTTTCTGTTGTGGAATTTTTAGATTGAATAAGTTTCAATCAGTGCATAGTTATGAATTTCTGTTATTATATTTTCATCGGGAAGAAATTTTTGATATACGAACCCGATTCGATTTTTAAAACGGGTTCGTTTGCTGAACCCGAACCCGGATTTTTCCGGGTCAGGCTCGGATCGTGTCAAAAATTGACACCCCAGACGAAAACAAATGGAGAGAATTTTCGGAGGATTATTTTTAATCGAAATGCTATTAGGTTAACACTATCTAATCAAAATTATCACTTTGTAAGAACTGACAAATTAAGTAGTAGATTAACAAAGATAATCGAATGACTCAAAATAAATATGATTTTTTTTTTTCAGTTTGCTTTTGGCTTTGCTTGCTATTTTCACAATTTATGTCTCCCTTTCGGCATTTTTTCGAAAGTGCCCATTCCTCTACAAAACCCCTCTTTAATCCTTCCTCTCTATGCAACAGTGTCCTCTACTCTCCTCCTACCTTATGCCTCTCCACTTCAATACTGAACAAAAGCTGCTCCTTTCAGTTTTCTATTCTGTAAAGACGCCTACTTGAACGTCTCTTCTCTCCGAAAAAATCAATCATCCACAACGTTATAGAGATTATTTTTACTTAGAGATGGGCATAAGTTATGAATATACCCCTTCCATTCTCTTATGTGCTGAGGAAAACCACAGCATCTTTTGCTTAGATGAGGAGGAAGAAGTAGTTCAGAGGAATTGGTCCGATTTGTCTCCTCAGCCAAAAAGCAGCGGCCTTTATGGGACTTCCTTCAATGTCTTCCCCCTGCAATCGGATGAGTGTTTGGACTTGTTAATAGAGAGAGAAACCAAGCACATGCCGAGTGATAACTACACCAAAAGGCTGGCGAGTGGTTCTTTGGATGTTTCCATCAGAACAGATGCCATTGATTGTATTCTAATGGTAGGACTTGCTACTATTTCCTTCGATTTAGTATTTCTTCTGGTTCTTCATTTGATGATTTTCATCTTTCCAAGGAATTTTTTATCGGTTTAGATCTTTCACTGTTCTTTAGTATTGGTCGCTTCGTGGGAATAGGTTTAGCTTGTTCTGTTCCGGGAATAATGAAGTTTGCCTGTTTTTATGTACGTTGTTAAATTTCTTTTCCTGTACGTGTAATGGAACCCGGGTAAAATTTTTATTTTCTCTGTAGATGTAATTAGTGAGTTTTGATATATTATTGACAGGCTCATGCCTATAACAATTTTGGACCTTTGAGTGCTTACCTTTCTGTAAATTATCTGGATAGATTCCTGTCATCCTATGAGCTCCCTGTAAGTCCTTCAGTCTATAAATTTGGAAAAAGCTGCTTCAATCGATGCAATATACTCTACAAACCATATCTCATTACAATGATCTCTACCTGTAGAAAGGAAAAACCTGGATGGCTCAATTATTAGCAGTAGCTTGCTTGTCTTTGGCTGCCAAAATGGAGGAGGCGACGGTCCCTCTATTTCTTGATCTGCAGGTAGTGAAGTAAATATAGCAATTTACGAGCTCATGATTTACTTTCTGTTTCCGACTTATGAACTTTTTTGCTGGATTGATAGGTGGCGGAGGCCAAGTTTGTTTTTGAGGCTAGGACTATACAGAGAATGGAGCTTCTTCTATTGAGTACTCTGAAGTGGAGAATGCAATCTGTGACACCTTTTTCCTTCATAGAATGCTTCCTTCGCAAGCTGAATGGGGGCGATTTGCCATCCGAGCTATCAATTTCTCGAGCAGTGAAGCTCATCCTTGGCACCATCAAAGGTATTTCTTATTTATGTTCTTTTGTTTGAATCTCTGAACAAATTTGTCCTTCTGAAATTACGCAGGGATTGGCTTCCTATCATTCAAACCTTCTGAAATTGCTGCAGCCATAGCTATATGGGTGAAAGGCGAAGCCAATGCAATAGAAGTTGAGAAGACCATTACTTATTCCAACAAAATAGATAAGGTAAAGAATAGTTTCATATGATATTTACTTCAAAATATGTTATTGAGCAAAGAAGAACATTGTGGTTATGGTTGCAGGAGAGAGTTTTAAGATGTTATAAAGTGATGCAGGAGGAGTTATTGATGACTTGTGTTGAATCTGCTGATAACAAGAATTGGGATTCGTCAGTTACCTATATGCCGCAGAGCCCAATTGGCGTTCTGGATGCTGCATGCTTGAGCTACAAAAGTGATGAAATGACTTCTTCGTCACAGCCAAGCTCTCACCACTCCTCTCCAGCAGAAAAAAGAAGGAAAATTAGTAGGCCTTCTTTTTCATGAAGGGAAGAAAGTTCCCCCTTTTTTGTTTCTATACTCATAATGGTTAGAAAAGCTTTAAGTTTCAGGATAATTTAGTTGATTTGATAATGAGATGAAAAAAAAAAAAAAGACAGAAATGATGAAGATGGAGGTATGGATCAGTTGCCCCTGATTTTGCTATCTGAACAGGGTTGCCACCAACCGGTTATTAAGCAGGCATAAGCTGACTATCGAGAAGGAAGAAAAGAACACCCAAAAAAATCCACCGAAGAAAAAAGAGATTGTACTCTCCTTCGCTTAAGTGGATCAATCAAACTGAAAGAGGATTAAATGGAGCTTAACTTTTTCTTTCTTTGTATGAATTTGTTTAAGGAATAGAGTTTTTAATTGGAAGAAAATTATGAGAACAGAGGTTGATGTGTGTGTATTGGGAAATGGTATATTGTAGTATTGTAACGAGTGTTTGTTGTTCTTATTATCATGTAAAATTTTGAATAAACTTATTCCCAATAGAACCAAAGAAGCTCTGCTACAGCATTGAGATAACTACCTTTACAATCATCAAGTAGAGTTAATTGTTTATGAGATCATCATATGTCGATTATCTTTGTAATTATTTGGTATCTGCCATCCTATGGGAAGTTTTCATACAAATTCTGAGTTATTCTTCAAATAAATGATTTCTGTATTCTTTTTATAAGATGGTGATGATACCTACAGTGTTTTATGGCTCAAATGTTGGTCATTAAAAGAGAAGCATAAAATTAAGCTAAGTGTTGCAAAAATGAGGATGCTTAGGTGGATGAGTGACTTTTGACAGAATGTGAAATGAGTATATAGGTAAGAGGGTTGGAGTAGCTCTAGTTGCATATAAGATTAGAGAGAGTTGTTTTAAACTGTTTGGTCATATAAAGTGTCTGTCTTTCGATGACCTGATTAGGAGAGTTGATGTATTAGATTCGACCTATATTAAGAAAGATAGAGGTATGGTTTATTTTAGAAACGAGCATATTAAATAAAATAGTTCATTCACATTATTTTGATTGGTCGTATTCAACTCAAACATAGAGAGCTAGGTGTGAGAGAGAAACAATAGGAAAGAGAGGGAGGGAGAAGGGTGGGAGAAATTTTATTTTAATCTTTTTAATAGTTTTAAGAAAAAAAATTAAATAAAATATTTTAAAATAAAATAAAATACATATAAATTCATAATAAATATGAAAATTAAATTTATTTAAGTTTTTCTTCAGGATTTAAATTAAATTAAATTTTAAATGCAAAGAAAAAACATTGAAAATCGTTAAATTCATAATCATTATGTAAATTTTTATGCATTTTTAATTTATGATAAATTTAAAAAAAAAAAAAAATATTAGGGGTGTCAATTTTTGTTTTTTTTATATTTAGTAGGAGTGTGAGAAAGAGAAATAGGTCAGTATAAAAAAAATTGGGCCGGATTTTGGTTGACTTGAAAACTCGAGGATGACTCGAAACTGACTAAGATTCCCCACGTCTCTAAGATTCTAGCGTCCTGTACCATGCTACTCGCACACGACACAACTCACTCGCGTTTGCCTCGCCCGCACTTGAGGCTCGACCCCAGCACACCTCACCGTCGCGAATTTGCCCTTTTTTAATTTTTGAATTAAACATGCTAATTCTTGGGTTTAAACCGCTACTTACTAAAATAAACCTAAAATACTATGCTAAAAAGTATTAGAAATAACCTTTGTTTATTAGATTTTAATAAGAATTTAATTCTTAATATAGGACACAACAAAGATAAAAGATTCATTTAACGGACCTCACATAGAGGGATAAATATTTGATGTTGATGTTGTTGTTAGTATCTTTGTGATTAAATTTGTAATATAGATTGAATTTCATTTTTAGAAGCAAGAAAAAGCTAAATCATGAACAATTTTCTATCTTAGAGTTTAATTGTATTTTAAAATATAAAAATCTTGATAGGAAGATATTTAAGTTTTTATTTTTTTATTTATTCGTAAACAACTATCAATCTTCAGCAAAAATGTATTCATGCTAAAAAATGTTAAGGTAGTTTTTTCTAAATTACTATAGCGAAAAGTTTTTACATCTGCCATCCTCCTGTTTGACTTCTTGTCTGCTTAGATGAAAGAAATTTTTGTTAATAAAGAAGGGACCTTGGGAACAAGCAGTGATGAGTGAGCCAAGGTGAAAGCTTCATAATTCCATAGTGCTCTGTGAGTGCTGTGCTGCGTCCTTCACCTCCTCATCTATATATAATATAGACGTGGAGAACCATTCTATCTTTTATTGTGTTGATTAATGCCCTGAAATTTCTTTCTTCTAGGAAATTAAATAATTTCAAATGTCTGATCGTGTGAAGGCTAGACACCCATTCATTTATAGAGAGATTTTTTTTTTTTGGAAGAAAGAAATTTTATTTCATAAAAAGAGAGGATACAACCGGCTAAAGCAAATTAAGCATAGCACAGTTAAAGAGAAAAATACACAGTTGAACAACCGACCAAAATAAAGGGGTGAATCATCAAAGCGGATTAGGTTGTGGCGAAGCACTGCGGCCACCCAAATGATAGACTAGGGCCCTCCAAAGAGCAAACAACAGGCCAGTAAAAAGGAGACCAGCAACAACACGCCAGCACTGATTTCCAACAAGCCGTACCATCATAAAGCTTGCAGGATCGCCTCATCATTGCCCATACTAAAAATCGCGGCCAAACCCACAAGGCTAACGAAAAATCGGCGCAAATCGAGATCCGAAGAAACAGATAACTAAAAAACCACAGCAACCAAACATAGTAAGCCCAAAAAAGCTTATTTGGATTTCTGGCGTCGCCGATTTCTAGCCAAGGTAAAGTCATCTTCCTCCACATGCACTTTATATGATTCCCGAGCATCCTCAGAGGAGTCAGCAAAAACCACCTGATTCCCATCCAGCTAACATGGAAAACATTCAACCAATCCGAGTGGCTCACAAAGAGATCTCTAGATTTACCTAAATGAACTTGTAAAGCACCATTGAAAATTAAAGACACTGGCACATCAATAAATTGAGCAGATGTAGGAACCCCCATAGATGTATCCAACTCAATAACTGGAGAAATTGTTGTTGACCCACCCAAATCTGTGGAACCACCATCCAAGACCAAATTAATACCACAAGGACCCTCAATAGACTCAACTAATTTTTCACCAGAAATCAAGCCACAAGGAGACTTCTCAACAACTGCAGGGGAAATATCACCAGCAATTGGACTAACACCCTCCATAACACACGCATTATCATTAATCTGGGAGCAAACCATAGGCCTAGGAGCCTCCACTAAAATAGCCTTAGGCAAAACAAGCACGTGGCATGGTTCTGATGAAATATTGACATTATCAAGTTCAACCGAAGTATTGGCAGTATCCAAAAAAGGCTCAATAGCCTTATACAATGCAAAATGAGTTACAGCTAACTGGGGGTAAAGAATTTTACATTCAGGTTTGAAATGCCTCAAAGACTTACAGTGGGAGAATAACAGAAGAATATCTCCATAACTACCTGTTGGACATACCCAAGAGTTTCGGGACCTACCCACACCTTATCAAGATAGGATTTAGAAACATCCAGTTCAACAAGGACACGAGTTATCGAAGGTCTACAATCAGCTGACGTAGCATGATCAACCTTAAGAGGCTGACCAAACATAGAACCTAAACCATGCAAAATCCTAGGTGAGATAAGATGAGGACGCATATTTGGAAAAGAAATCCAAATGGAAATAATGGGTGATTCGATTTCAACATCAAAGGATGGAGTCCACTTTAAAATCTTCATATAACAGTTATTAACAAAGTAAGAATAATGATTAAAAATACGGCAGTAATCAAGGTCAAATGCGAGTTTGATTAAAACATGCCGGGGATTCAGAACAATAACCGAAAATTCCCCAATAAGCTTAAGGTTAAAGAAAAATTTTCGAATAGCCTCTAGTGACGGTCTACGCGAAGGGAATTCAAATGGAGCGGCCAACGCCAAAATTTTCACTTCCGAAATCCACAACGACGGTAAACCACGAAAGGAAGCAATTTTGAGGTCCGGAAAGAGGGAGGAGGAAGAATCACTGGAAAGAGCATCACTGAAAGACTTCAAAGCAGCTTTACCAGCCAAAAAATCTTGATCAGCTAATCGCTTAGCCGCAATCGACAAAAAAACCAGTTGAAAGAAAAGCAAAGCAAGACAAAGTGAAGAAAAGAACAAGAAAGAAGAAATCAAAACTTCCCTGAGAAGAGAAAAGCTTCCAGCAGCCACGAACCAAGCAGCAGAGAACGGGGTGCCAAAAGGGACAGGAACCCTAGCAGAGTGAACATTAGTGGAGCTTTTAAAACTCTTTAATGAAGTGTGTAGTATAGTTATTGTTCATCGCTCTGCTTTTAGCCTTTTACTATGCTTTTGTTATGTACACTCGTAAAAATTGGGCATATCTCTAGTCTGCATGGGAGGATTTAAGGGGGGCCTAAGGGGCACGTGCCTCAAAAAATATTTCCTTACTAGTTATAGTCCTAATGTAATGAATTATATATATATATATAT